GCGAATCATTGGTACAACCCTCCCTTCTCTCCAAGAACTGTACTTTTACACAGTGAGCAAAAGGGCTGGCAAAATCACTCTGGACCCCTCACATCCAGCACACTCCCTCTTTGAACTGTTGCCATCTGGTCGATGCTACAGAGCACTGAGCACCAGAACGACCAGACACAGGAACAGTTTCTTCCCTCAGGCAATCCATCTCATGAACACTTAACAATAACTGTGGAACACACACTATTTATTCACTCATACACTTATTTATCTAACACACATACTCAGTCTACACCTCAAATTTGCACATAATATTCAGTACCTGTACATACAAAAACTGTCTATTGTAATATACCTGCACATACAACTGTCAATTTATATATTTTTATTCCTTATTTACTTGTTCTATTTTTTTATTATCTGTGTTTTTTGTTCTGTCACTGTCATTCTGTTACACTGTGGAAGCTTCTGTCACGAAAACAAATTCCTCGTATGTGTAAACATACCTGGCAATAAAGCTCATTCTGATTCTGATTCATGTCTTCATAAATCAGTTGCAAAATGGCATCTTACTGACCAACATCTGTTCATGACTGAAGCGAGTGATATCAGGCCAGATCCAGTTGTGAATAATCAAGAGACAGATTCTGTATCCAAAGCAAAGCCAGGTGAAGATGAAGGACAAGCATATCCTCCTGATGATGCAGGCCTTCGTAGGATGGTTCACTTACCCAACTACCCCAGCATTTGGTCACTGGTTCCAAATCTTTGCAAGATCTTCCAAGGCATTTGATACCAATAGAATTATCATGCGTGGAGTGTGCCGGGCAACTTACTGAGCCACTGCTCATAACAGCAGATGCCAAACTTGTCACCTATACTGGTGGTGTAGATGGTGAAACATGTCAAAATATATCATCCATATCATCTTAGCCATACCAATTTAACTAATGTTAAAAACAAAGTAGAGGTCAGTGCACAATGGACTTGCTAGATGATAGAAAGCAATAACAATATTGTACTTTTTTCTTTTCCTTTCGTTTTTTAGGCTTTTCTACATACTGCATGGCATGTCCTGACTGTGGGCTGATGTACAGATATCAAGAATAGACTAATGGAATTCACAATTTCAATGACCATATTCTCATCACCCTTCATTTGTGTATTGTACTACGTGCATCACTTCAGGTAAGAACACATTTAGTGTTTTACTGTTCTTATTTTTATAATGTGTGCCTTACTATGTTTTATAGTTTCTTAGACTCACCATTGGAAGGGCATCTTAACAGCCAGTGCACTGAGCAATTATTTGCAGACATGAGGAAGAACAATTATTTTTTGAATACCCTCACCCCCTCTCAGCACATCTTCATGATGCGGAACATACTACAACACAAAACATTAAAGAAAAGTTACTTTTGGTCTTTGAGTTAGAGGCAACGGTAAATGTCCATTCATAGGCATTATTTTGCTGTTGACATAGGGTTGATATGACTGAAACTTTACTAATATTCATCCTTTTTTTTTTTTACCAGATTGCTAATCAGTGCTTTCAGCTCATCACTGTACTTGCAGCTTCACAGGTCAGTTTGATAGCTTTTGTTGTGTTTATTAATTCAGGGGTTATGAAAAATATGTAATGTCACACTGCACTGTGTTTCTAACTTTTCAGGGCAAAGATGTGTTTGCTGTCAACAGTTATGTGGTGGTCACGTGGTTGCCTCCATATAACAATGATCCTCGGCCAGCTTTACCTGTTAGTATCCTTTAACATATGTGGCGAACACACATTTTAATTATTTGCTTATTTTGCTATATGAATTAAGGAAGAAAAAAATCAATAATCATACAGGATATTAATCATTATAACTGTGGTTCACCGTAATTCTCATCTCACAGGATGGTGCTGCAACCAAGGACTTCATGTTACTTCCCTCATTGGAGTCAGGGCACTGGATTATGTGTGTATCAATCACATTTCTCCCAGCCATTGGAACATGTCTGTACTGACAGATTTTGAGGTACAGCTTTTTAACTTCTTTGCTTGTGAACTTTTCATATCTGTAGTGGAGTGTTAAGAAAGAATACAGTACACAGTTGTCACAAATAACCCACTATGGGTGAATTGAGTAAACCAAGTGCACTTAAACAAACCAAAAAACAATCACCGGACGTAATGGTAATGTATTTATTGTATATGGTCCAATTGTATATGGTCTAATTGTATATTGTCTATAATTAACAGGGTGCCCCTCTTCAGCTAGGAGGAATTGATTGCGGGGTATTCATGTTGATCGTAGGTGGTTTTATAATTGCTGTACAGCTGTGTCTGTGTGCTAAACACCGCATTTGTTAATATAGTTTTGGTTTTTAGTATGCACTTCGTTACGCTCTCAAAGCCATTTGATTTTGCATCAATTTATGGTTATTTGTAAAGCAAAAAGGACTAGGAGAACACTTTCAACAAAATTTTTTTAAAAATGACTAAGATTTTCAATTGCTATCTTTTATCAGTCTGACATGCCTATAATCAGGAAGTGGTGGTGCTATCAGTTAATTCAGACATTTCCTCTGACAAGGTATGATATTGATAATTATACTTTAGATTAAAACCTCCATACTGTGCATTTCCAGTATGCAGGCAATATATAAAAAAATAAAGCAATGTATGTCTAAAATATTGTTATGTTTGTCACTTCCCACAGTCAAGTCCAACAACTAGTCACCCAGGAACAAGATCTACCAAATCCAGAAGACATGGAAGTCACTCCACCGGAGTCAGAAATCATGGAGATCACCCCAACACCAGGAATCTATGTATGTAGAGGGAATGTTTATGTATTGCTTGACTTGGTTATGTATTTAACTTTCCTGTTTCATAAAGGTGTTTATAAGCAACACTTATTAATTACATTATTATTGGAATTCTTATATTGCACACAGGACTCAGCGGTGATAAAAAAAACATTCAGCTGGCCTGTAAGTGGGTGGAGGAGAACCAACACCAGTTTGCTGGGAAGATTGAACTGCCAAAGATCTTAAGGATGAAGGAGGATGATGCCTTGTTGGCTATCGCAATGCGAGACTTGTTCATAAACACCATGTTTTATGAAGGTGAAAGGGATGAAGAACAAATTCGGGCTCCCTTCCTTTTCACTTTTCAGAGAGTAGAGGACATGGAATTATTCTTGCAGGAAATACGCGACAAAAGAGATATCCGTGTGTCTTGTTTACACAACCCTCATTTGTGAATCTACCAGTGTCTTACTGTTACTAAAATGTAAATATTGATTTTTGTTTTGTAAAATTTCATTAATATTTTGTGTGAAAAGAAGTGTGTTCTTGAAATATATTTATTATATTTATTATTTTATATCTTGCTATACCATTAAAATTTTGTGTGAAAGAAGTGTTGTGTTCTTGAAATATATTTATGATATTATTTTATGAATTCTTATTGTGACATTTTATCTAAATGTAAGATTTATTTTATGTTTAGATGCATATTTTGCTAATTTGGGTTAATAGAAACAAATAAATCCAGTGCATCACTTGTAGGACAGTGGAGTATGTGACTATTAAATTACATCTATTTTATCCCAAATGTTGGAGAGGATGCCTCACTAGAGCATGAAGGTTGAGTCTATCTAAAATTACAGTCAATATTCCATTTAAATTTACAATATAATAAAAAAAATTACAACCAGCCTGTTGGAGTTCATGCATTCACATATACATACAAAAATGGGCATATTACATAAATTAGTCTAACTTTATTATTATTATTATTTATTACAATTAATAAGATGATTTAGTTTAGTTCAAAAACACGTTAATGCGGTGGCCAAAAATTAAAGAGGGGTGCACAGATAGTAAGCTTTCACATTGCCTGCTAAATCTAGTAATTTACATAATCATATAGCATAGGCTTTTATCCGAAGCAACTTCAAAAGTGAGGAAACTATTCTAATAAGGAGAAAATAATATGACAAGTTTACATAGATACAAAGTTTAAAAAGGTGTTAGAAACACATATATAATGTGAGTAATGTTCTTATCAAGTATTTACGTAATACAGTGGGATATGGAATTGTACATGCTATTTGTTGACAATAAAGCATTATTTAAAAAAAGTATTTACGTAATGCCGTTTGTCTCAGAATCGATACTGACCATGATGAAAAAATCAATCATAATCATGACAAATATTAGAGTAAAATAAGACAATATTATCTATGCCAGCATCTTGCGCATCAAAACAAGCATTTACTTCCATTACGGTTGACCTGGCAATAACATTAACAGCCACATGAGAGCGCTTGATAGCGCTTCGAGCCCCGCCCACTAGATCCAGTGAGGGGGAGCTAGAGGTCTAGCCCCTCCCATTTGGCTCTGCAGCGAGCACCACTTGACAAAATGAAGCGATTAGGATGATTTTTGATGAGATTTGGGAGGAGGCTGTAAGGAACTCTTTCACGCATTTTAGCATGTGGCGTGTATGTGTGTTCATGCCTGTGAGTGAGTGTATAGCCTATTACACAAATGTACGTGCATGTATTAAAAGGCTGTTGAGTGAAAACTGTGCAACCCAGTGTCACAAAAACACTTGTATATGTATTAAAGTTAATTTATCAACTTTGAAAAGTTTTTTTCCCCAAATAAAAATAAGTAAAGTTATTCCCATGGTCAATAATTGTAATTGAAGCCATTTGTTGTGTGCTAAAAAAAGAAAAAAGACCTTGCACTTAAAGGTTGAACACAGTATTAGAATTTTACAGTCAAGAAGACTACATTTGTGAAAATTACCTATTTTTTTCAAAGGATTAATCATGATTTTGAGCTCATTACACTTGAAATATTAAGTTTATGCATTTTGAAGGTAAATAAGTTAAATTAACTGGGCAAGCTTTAATCTTAACATTGCATAATCCAACTTTCTCTTACAGAGAAAGAAGGTTTTTAGCATTTGTGGGCTTGCATTATCTTCATTTGCTTATTTGCATTATCATAATGTTTTCTACTCACAGAAGCTCAAAACTAAACTTCCTATGCTTAGAAGCTCTAACATAAATGCATGAGCATTAAACTCCTAACACATTAAAATCTGTCTTTCTGCATTGCAGATAACATTTCATGTCACATGTTACAAACATGTTTCAAGTGGGCAAGCTTTAGTCTTAACATTGCATAATCCACCTTTCTTTTTACAAAGAAATAAGGTTTTTAGCATGTGTGGGCTTGGATTCTCTTCATTTGCTTAGTTGCACAAACATAGTGTTTCTATTCACAGAAGCTCTAATCTAAGCTTCCTGTGCTTAGAAGCTCTAACATAAATGCATGAGCATTAAACTCCTAACACATTAAAATCTGTCTTTCTGCATTGCAGATAACATTTCATGTCACATGTTACAAACATGTTTCAAGTGGGCAAGCTTTAGTCTTAACATTGCATAATCCACCTTTCTTTTTACAAAGAAATAAGGTTTTTAGCATGTGTGGGCTTGGATTCTCTTCATTTGCTTAGTTGCGCAAACAAAGAGTTTCTATTCACAGAAGCTAGAAACTAAACTTCCTGTGCTTAGAAGCTCTAACATGTTCATGAGCATAAAACTCCAAACACATTAAAATCTGTCTTTCTGCATTGCAAATAACCTTTCGTTTCACATGTTAGAAACATGTTTTAAGTGTGCAAGCTTTAATCTTAACATTGCATAATCCAAATTTCTCTTACAGAGAAAGAGTTTTTTTGCATTTGTGGGCTTGCATTATCTTCATTTGCTTAGTTGCACTAGCATAGTGTTTCTATTCACAGAAGTTCAAAACTAAGCTTCCTGTGCTTAGAAGCTCTAACATAAATTCATGAGCATAAAACTCCAACACATTAAAATCTGTCTTTCCGCATTGCAAATAACCTTTCATTTCACATGTTAGAAACATGTTTCAAGTGAGCAAGCTTCAATCTTAACATTGCGTAATACAAACTTTCTCTGACAGAGAAAGATGTTTTTTAGCATTAATGGGCTTGCATTCTCTTCATTTGCTTAGTTGCACTAACATAGTGTTACTGTTCACAGAAGCTCTAATCTAAGCTTCCTGTGCTTAGTTGCACTAGCATAGTGTTTCTATTCACAGAAGATCAAAACTAAGCTTCCTGTGCTTAGAAGCTCTAACATAAATTCATGAGCATAAAACTCCAACACATTAAAATCTGTCTTTCTGCATTGCAAATAACATTCAATTTCACATGTTAGAAACATGTTTCAAGTGGGCAAGCTTTAATCTTAACATTGCGTAATACAAACTTTCTCTGACAGAGAAAGATGTTTTTTAGCATTAATGGGCTTGCATTCTCTTAATTTGCTTAGTTACACTAACATAGTGTTACTGTTCACAGAAGCTCTAATCTAAGCTTCCTGTGCTTAGAAGCGCTAACATAAATTCATGAGCACTAAACTCCTAACACATTAAAATCTGTCTTTCTGCATTGCAAATCACATTTCATTTCTCATGTTAGAAACATATTTCAAGTGGGCAAGCTTTAGTCTTAACATTGCATAATCCACCTTTCTGTTACAGAGAAAGAAGGTTTTTAGCATTTTGGGGCTTGCATTCTCTTCCTTTGCTTAGTTGCACGAACATAGTGTTACTGTTCACAGAAGCTCTAATCTAAGCTTCCTGTGCTTAGAAGCGCTAACATAAATTCATGAGCACTAAACTCCTAACACATTAAAATCTGTCTTTCTGCATTGCAAATAACATTTCATTTCACATTATATAAACATTTCAAATGGGCAAGATTTAATATTAACATTGCATTATCAAGCTTTCTCTTACTGAGAAAGAAGGTTTTTAGCATTTTGGGGCTTGCATTCTCTTCATTTGCTTAGTTGCACGAACATAGTGTTACTGTTCACAGAAGCTCTAATCTAAGCTTCCTGTGCTTAGAAGCTCTAACATAAATTCATGAACATTAAACTCCTAACATATTAAAATCTGTCTTTCTGCATTGCAAATCACATTTAATTTCTCATGTTAGAAACATATTTCAAGTGGGCAAGCTTTAGTCTTAACATTGCATAATCCAACTTTCTCTTACAGAGAAAGAAGGTTTTTAGCATTTTGGGGCTTGCATTCTCTTCATTTGCTTAGTTGCACGAACATAGTGTTACTGTTCACAGAAGCTCTAATCTAAGCTTCCTGTGCTTAGAAGCTCTAACATAAATTCATGAACATTAAACTCCTAACATATTAAAATCTGTCTTTCTGCATTGCAAATCACATTTAATTTCTCATGTTAGAAACATATTTCAAGTGGGCAAGCTTTAGTCTTAACATTGCATAATCCAACTTTCTGTTACAGAGAAAGAAGGTTTTTTGCATATGTGGGCTTGGATTCTATTCATTTGCTTAGTTGAACTAACGTAGTGTTTCTATTTACAGAAGTTCTAAACTAAGCTTCTTGTGCTTTGAAGGTCTAACATATGTCCATGAGCATAAAACTCCTAACACATTAAAATCTGTCTGTCTGCATTGCAAATAAGAAACATATTTCATGAGGGCAAGATTTAGACCTAACAATGCATAATCCAACATTCTCTTACAGAGAAAGAAGGTTTTTAGCATTTGTGGGCTTGCATTCTCTAAATTTGCTTAGTTGAACTAACATAGTGTTTCTATTCACAGAAGCTCAAAACTACACTAACTGTGCTTAGTTGAACTAACCTAGTGTTTCTATTCACACAAGCTCAAAGCTAAACTACCTGTGCTTTGAAGCTTTAACATAAGTTCATGAGCATAAAACTCCAAACACATTAAAATATGTCTTTCTGCATTGCAAATAACCTTTCATTTCACTGTTACTGTTCAAAGAAGCTCTAAAATAAGCTTCTTGTATCTTGAAGATCGAACATAAGTTGATGAGCATAAAACTCCTAACACTTTAAAATCTGTCTTTCTGCATTGCAAATAACATTCAATTTCACATGTTAGAAACATGTTTCAAGTGGGCAAGTTTTAATCTTAACATTGCATAATCCAACATTCTCTTACAGAGAAAGAAAGTTTTTTGCGTTTGTGGGCTTGCATTCTCTTCATTTGCTTAGTTGAACTAATATAGTGTTTCTATTCATAGAAGCTCAAAACTAATCTTCCTGTGCTTAGAAGCTCTAACATAAGTTCATGAGCATAAAACTCCTAAAACATTAAAATCTGTCTTTCTGCATTGCAAATAACCTTTCAGTTCACATGTTAGAA